AGAGGAACGTGGCGAAAGGGGGAGAAGAAAGAGAAACAGTATATAGGGCCGGGGGAAGATGGAGAAAGAGAGAGCGAGCTGGGATTAGATCTCAGGGTGAGTGGGTAGGATTGGATTTGGCAGAGGCGGCGTAGCAGTTGGTGGTAGAAGGTGTAGGAGAGATGGAGGATAGGGGAGGCAGAGACTTCGGTTGGTGTCCGAGTGGTGGTGGGGTTTGCCGGATGGGAAACACGGCGACGAGGGAAGAGCGGCAGAGAAGGAGACGTAAGTGACAGAATAGTGGCTGGTGGTGTAGGTGAACTGGACAACCACCAGAACACACTGTCTATCTCCCTCTAACTCGCTCGCCTGCTCTCTCTCTCCCTTCCTCTTTCTCCCTCTTTCTCTCGCTCTTTCTCTCGCCGGTATTTAAGGGAGAGTCGCGAGCGTAGCGCGCCAGTTACTACGGCCGATTGCCTCCACGAGGTGTTCGCCGGTGGAGCAAACGTGCACACGGTTCCCGAGACGATAGAAAAAGGGCGCGAGACGAGGAGAGATCCCGCCTTCGCCGAGCCACGTGGACCCAGACAGATTTTGCGAGACTTTTCACACCGTACAGTGAAGTTCCTCGGTCAACGGAAAATTGAAAATTAAAAATTGACACTGTTGAACCGGTCCTCCGTAACGTCCCGTCGAACAGTTCGTAGATCGAGAGCATCGGGACCGTTCCAGTCTCTCTTCGTTTTTCCCTTTGGATTTTCTGTCGCTCGTCCCCGCCGGTTCTCGTCGTACGTGTCGGTCGGCTCGCTAAAAGTGGGAACAGTTCGCGGTTCATTCGAATATGAACGAGTATGCGTTCTCTGAACGGGATCGACGAGGTTCGCAGATGAGCCTGTACAAGATTTATGGAAGAGTTTGAACAGCCGCGCCGGGGACTGGCTCGTTCTTTCGCTCGCGGATGAGATGCAGATGAGCGTGTTACCGAGGTATCGTTGCACACGAATGCACAATAGGAATTTCATTTTGCGAGAACTCGGCTGATCATGTAGACCGCGGACCTTGCGCGTGAGACGAAAAGTTTAGAAAATATGTCATAGAAATTTCGCATTTAAGAGTTTCACTTCGCGCAAACGTCCGTTGGCGAATGAATTCGAGTTGTCGCAAGTGGCTAGATACAATGATCAAATTTTAAGCGTAAGAAAGAATAACAATCGCCAGAACTGTTGCTAATATAATGTTCCGAGAACACGGCGAGGTTTCTTCATTTCATTTTCACGCTAACATTTGCGCCGAGAACATAGTCTTTCCGATAAAAATTAAACGATTCCGCGCCCGTTTCTTTTTTTATCGTCGCGCACGCAGAAATATAAGATTGTTAAAGATCCGCCTTGAAAAACGATATAGATACGCGTGCCCGCTATCTGCTCATTCTACTGAATTACGCGAGTGTCGGCGCATGAGGTGACTCCGATACGATAACTTTTTCGCGAAGAATTTGCACAAAGTAACGATACTGCGATTACGTCGGCGCAGCGGGACTAATCGTAATTTTTCCTGGTACTCTAAGCCTCACGTGTAACGGTAACGATTAGCGCTAATCGTGAGGAGGTTCATTTTCATTAAGCGTTTCGCGAATCTCCATTCGGTCTACTTGCCATTTGTTCGTCTGTAAATGTCTTAACAGAAAAATGTCCAAGATCTCGGTTGATCTACGAACGCGTCAATTAAAATTAGATTACTCCCGAAAACGGTTTCATTCTTATAAAAATAGAAAAGCTTACGTTTTAAAATCGAGCATTTTTCAGTTTTCGCATAGATGGAAGAAAACTTTTTCGTTTTAATCCGACCGTTCAAAAATTTAGAATTACTTGCCAAATTTCTATTGGAACTGTATCGCGTGACACATTTTTCACTGACTCGTCGCTAAATATTTTTAGAGACGCTTGTTGATGCCATTCGATCTTTATTTTTTTCTATTTAATCAGCTTGATTATTTGTAGCCGCTAAAGTTCTGTTTACTTCACAGGCGTATCTGTAGCTCCTTTGATTCGCGAAGCGATTCTAAATTTTCGTCGGCTAGCAATATTCCGCTCTGCAGATATCATACGTGCTAATTACGTAAGAGCCGGGGGGGTACGGAGGCGCGGCTCCTTTTTATCATCCCGATGAAAAGAAGATGATTAAGCGGCCGATGGCGAGCTGCCAAACAGTGCCTCCGTGAAACGGCGGAAAGAAAACGACGGGACCGCGGCTGGTATCGGCGTGCGGGACCCCTGTCGAAGCCACGTCCTTTTAATTTCTTTAAATCGCTACAAAATGTCGGGAATTGATATACCGCGTTACAACCAACCAGTTTCGCGATAAGCCTGACCACGTTGCTGACGTATCGAATGAAAATTCATACTTTTTCTCCGCAGAAATCCCGCCGGTACCAGTCAACGAACTTCGGAAGTTCAATTTGCACGTTCCAAACCTCTCTTTGTAAATTCAGAGATCTCGACTCTGAAATTTCTATCGAAATTGTCTGTTAATTTCATCCTTCGAACTACAACATTTCTCATCCTCTTGAATTTGAAGTCGAAAAGGAGAAATATTGAAAGAGGAATGCTGATTTACTGATAGCTTGATACTCTATGAGTAAACGATAACTTCTTAACACGTTGCGTACTGGTAACGAGAAATCACGTTTTTATATAAAGACACTTAGCTATGCAACTTCGCTAATACTACAGTATTTAAAAAAATATTAAATTTGATTCGAATTGATTATCTATTTAAAATGTATTACACGACAATATGATATCTGAATTCTTATATGTATAGTGATTTAAGTTGATCTCATTGAAAAGTGCTATCCGAAAATTAACCGGTACCCAATGTGTTAACATTAATTTTGCGGTCAAGGAAACAGTATTTTGAAAGATCGAAGGTATTGGGAATTCAATATCAGAGGAATATGTAACTCGAGAGTTTCAATGCCCCTATCTTCAAAATGGGATTAGATTTGGTATCGAGTATCGAAGGCAGCTTGATGAGACGATAAACATTTTTGTCCAGGGAAAGGAGGCGAATCGTTTGGATCCGGTGCCCAATGCTGCTGGCGTTGGGGCTACTCTTGGCGTTGTCGGACGTCGGAGCTGTTCAGCGGTCGGACGTCCAGTCGCACGCGAATTCCTCGCTGGAAACGGACAGAACCGGGACCAGTCGCGGTATTTCGGTCACCAGGATTCTTCAAGATGGCGAGCTGGAGCGTGTAATTCGCTGGCGCGGGATCTGCGCCAAGGAGACCGTCGTTAACTGGGGGTAAACAGACTTTTCCTCTTCCCAACCCCGAGACGCTTCATCCCCTTAACGATATTCTGACCATCAGGTTGTCAATCGTGTCGTTTCGCAGTATACCGTCCAAAAGCTTCGAAGATTCTGCTGATCTTTCGATCGCGCTAACAGTTTCATTAAAATCCTACTCGGAAAATTAATTCGCTACAGATACGGAGACACTGCTACTCATTCCTCATACTTAACACTAAAACTACCGAGCAGTTAATTAAGGTTTTGAAATTTCTCTATAAAAGCTCCAAGAGTGCATTTGTTTAGAGTTTAATTGATGTAGATCTCAGGTTGCGTGGTGTTGAATCAATTTGATTAATAATTTCTCAGAGAAACATTTATCTTTTTAAAAATTGCACAAATACGTTAAGAATGGGTCATTTTGACCCGTCTGGTAGTTTTAATTAGTTTTGACTAGTCTGGTAGTGTTAATTCTGCACTCGAAGATTCGATGTAAGAACTATAAAGCCTTATACATAACACAAAGCTGTTTCTAAGTTTACATACATCTTCTCATTAGCTTCAAAGAATGTCGTCTACGTCACAACGAGAAACGTTGAACATTTCCAGCAACAATCCCGAGTGCAGAGTGTTAACAGTTTCATCAAGATCATCGCTTCAATCGAGGCAACAACCGACCCAACTTTCATCCCTCGACAGCTCCTAATTTTTGCGCGCCGTTTCAAACATCATTTCCCATTACAGACTCCACCATACGGCCCTCCGAGCGCTATCCCCTTTACACCCTGATGAACGTAAGGAATATTCCTCGAATCTCACTGACCCGAATTAGCCTCCTGATCCTCAAACTAAGCAACGTCGGAATTCCCTGCGCGAGAATCGGCCAAGCCGACGATCGACGGCCGATGAACGGGACTCTTTGTCACCGGTTAGCACCCTGGCGTGCAACGAACCGACGAGACGCGGAGGTTCTCGGGGATTTCTCGGCGTCCGGTGTTTTTTCGGGGACAAGCACGCCAACACGGTGGCCCCGGTCCTCTTCGTTAGAATAACATTTCCCCGGCAAGCAAATCTCCGGGCGCGAGCCTCGGCCGCCCGACCCTGAGCCGCGTAGCTCGTAGAGGAGGACGCTTCCGCCGGCGAAGCGGGAAAACAATGCCGCCTTTCACCGTTTGCCGATACGACGCGCGCCGAGCACGAGGCGGGGGTTGCGTTTACCATCGGTTACACCTCTTTCAAACGCCACCGTCCCCGCGGAACGCGCGTCGCCGGCACGTCCGCGATCCGCGGCCAACCCGCTAGCGTGTCCACGTCCTTGTCAGTCGACCGGAAAGCTCATAGAATCGCGCGCTAAATCGAGTCGCTCACCTTCTTTCTTCGCCGGGGGGGCGGCAGAGGAGAGGGAAAGGGAAAAAAGAAGGACGCCGAGCGGCGACGCGCGTTGCGCCGGTTTCCACGACGTTCTGGACGGGTTCGGCGTGGGGGTGGGCGCGCGGAGAAGCGGTTTTGCGATTCGCTTCTGCGGTCCCGGACTCGGTACCGCGGACGCGCCAATAAGCGGTCGTCCCGGGGAGATTCGGATTAGAATTTGGACGCGTCCTTAACCCCTGCTTTTTTATTTAATCGGATTAACGAGTTCTAACGAGTGACGCTTAGGAACTACTCGACATACGAAATTCATTCGGACACTGACCAATTTTTCGTTTCTTAATTCTGAGATTAGCGAACAATGTTATTTTCAGGTTAACCTCTTGCCGTACGATGACGAGTGAAACTCGTGATGAAGATTTCTAGACTAATTGTCAACAATCAATGTTATTCATTATCCACGGATCAAGGCACATAACTATTTCGCTGTTATCAATGTATTATATTCAAATGAAACTTCCGCTTGAAGTAGAATGGAAAATTTTGCTACTTTTCTTCTAAATTGCCGATAGTAAAATGTTATACGTGTTTCGTAGCGAAAATAAATAGTACGTCAAGGGATTAACACGCTCGCGACCACGCGTTGCGAGTTTGTGACAGCGATTCGTTTGGAGAACCCTGCGTCACGTATCTGTTGATTACCTTTGTTTCGATCATATTAACACGTTAAACGCCACAAAAATCTTAAGCGTTTCTCCGTAGAGTTTTTCTTTTGTAGCAAAGAAAAGCAGTAACAATTATTAATTATTTGGTGTTACAATGTTTGCATTACACTATTATCAACTTAGTTATGTTATTAACACTGGAACTACGTACCAGTCAAAATGACTGGTTTCGGTTCGTTTGTTTCGCGATTATTGATATCTTAAAACCATTGAATGGTCTTGGAATTAAATAGTTTCACTATCACGAATACCTGAAGAAACTGAAAATAATTTATTGTTACAATTTTTTTAGAGATTACATATTAATCATATTAAATGCTCGGTAATTCCAGTGTTAATATATATTTGGCGTATGGTATACCCTACAGTAGCTTTGTTCGGTTTATTTACTACGTTTCAAATGCTTGACAATTACAAGAATAACAAATCACGCGAAACAATTGCAAGAAAGGCATGGTCCCCAGTAAAGGTATCTCAAATATGATCGAGGTCGCGAACCTGTTAATCAATCCCGAAACCACCTAGCGGTTAAAGTGACTTTACTGAATTCTCTAAGTAACTTGTAATTCAATTTTCACCTTTGAACCGGTATCTCCAGTGATCTCTCGGAGAAGCATCCGTCTTTTCGACGATTGCGAGAGAGGGATTCTAGAATGGGTCGTTTCGATCCAATTTCAGTGGATAAAGTAAATACCCGCCAATGGGATTTAGTTAAAAAATTGGTTCTTTATAATCGTCGTAGTTCTTGGTAATTTCGTTTCGAAACGGATTTATTTCCGTGGATTCCGTTGAAGGGCTCCGTTCGTCGTTGATTCGATCGAGAGAGGTTGATCTCTACGGAAAAGCGAATCGAAAAACAATTTATCACGGCCAGGCGTGGACAGCGACCGCTAAGCCAACCGTGGTCTTAAGCCGAAAAGCGGCAAGTTAAGTAAGCAAGGATTAGGTTCCTGCGAGCAGGAGCGCGCCCAGCGTCCTGAAGGACACTGGCCTGGAACAACGGCACTAACTCATCTGCTGATGCTCTCACGAGGATACCAGAGAATTCCACGACCGCGAAACGTCGCCTTGCACTTAAACAGAGGATAGGGAGGGAGGCAAAGCTCTTTTCCTGTAACGAGAAAAGCACGAGTTGTCCGTTCTCATGATTCCGAGTATGGGGGGCGATCAATTTTTGATCGAGAAAGGATAGGTACCGTATAGGACGAGTGAGCTCCTTCCGCCTCGACCAATTCATCGAATCTTTCGATATATACGATGCCCTATACTCCGGCAGCCTTCTTTTATTGCACTTTTTAAACAATATTCGAAAATCGAAAATTCAGTTCTAGTGTCCGATTGACAGAGACAATCAAGAGAATATTCAGGCTTGGAGATGTTTCTCGATGTTATTGGTGATGTTTCATCACCCTTAACCCCTTGCCCTATGATTTATTTCTCAACTATAATCGATACAACTACTTTATCGTTAATAATTTATTAGGAAAAGAACAAATTTTTTATTCTACGTCTACGTTTGCTCCAAAGGTCAACGATTGACAATAGAAAAATAATACTTAATTTATATTTAACAAAATGAATAATACTTAGGTTTCTCAAATTCAGTTTCAAGTTTTCGTCATGAGTCTGTCACGATATTGTAAGTCAAGGGGTTAATTCGTGAAAATTTGACCTCGATATATACTCATTGACAAATCTTCCTCTTTCGTTAGTATTATCAGATGACATATTTGAAATTCGTCGTGTGTGTGAAGATAGTTCCAGTTACTAACCCTGTACACCGCATAGATAATCTTTACACCAATGATTCACGAATGAAATTTCATCTGTTCATTCATCGATTCCTATATCATCCGTTAATAAGCTTTTCAATTCTTGTCTTTCCTTTTGTCTCTGTTTCCCCTAAGAATTTATCATCTAACTTCGCCTTTATTTTGTAGCCAGTTGTTTGTTACGGTAGGAAGAATTAGGTAAATACTGGATAAATATTTTGTCTCTGTTTCCGCTAAGAATTTATCATCTAACTTGTTCGCCTATTGTAGCTAGTTGTTCGACTGGTTACGATAGGAAGAATTAGGTAAATACAAAATGGCGGCGTGGTCAGTGCTAAACATTGTCGTCGGCAACCGAACGCGACAGTAACGACTTTAACGATGGCCAGGAAGATGGTTATCCGCGCGTCGAAAATAAGGCGGGGGAGCATCAATCATAGGTGCACGTTAATCACGGCCTCGTATCCAGCAAACGCGTGCACACCCAATCTACCGTGAATTTCTCCCGCGTTACTCACGCGTCACGCTCGCCGATTTTTTGGACCCGGTCCCTGCGCCCCGTCGTCCCCTGTTTCCAGTTACGAATCGTTATACATATACATGTATCTATTTCTTTTTTTGCTCCATTGTTATCACCCGTGCCCGATAAAACCTTCGTCCCTGTGAAACGAACATCAACGCAGGTTTCACGTGAACCCTTTACGGTCGGAGTACTACAGTTGAAAAGATCAACTCTACTTTGCAGACTTGACGAGTTGACAAACACATTTCTCCTGTTTTCAAAGTATACAGATGCCAGAGAATTAAATGCATTTGTTTAAAGAGTGTTCAACAGGTCGTGAACAAAAGATATTCATTGTAGATCTATTTTTCACTCATAGTGCGAACGCGCGTTTATTGCCTCGACTGTACAGTCGAAACTGACTAGAAAGAAATTGGTAATATTAATGTAACGGAATTGGTGATTGGAAACATACTTTTTATTTGCTCATAAGGGAGGTAAAGGATCCGTTGAACCCTTTACCGCCATCTTGCGAAAAAAAATGAAATTATTTTCAATTTTATTGCAAACTGTAACAGATCCTGTAATATGGGGAAAGTTGATAAGGCTCTTTCCTCGAATTTTACAATCACACAAGAAGGCACTCGTTTCTTGTCAACGAGAAAGCTGATAGGATTCGTACCGCGAGAGGTGACTTGGTATCCGACCGTGAAGGGTCAATCAGAAAAAGACAAATGGAAGTTAGACTCTGTTCTCACGATATATGCACCCCCCTCGTTAGAGATACGGACGTAGCACTGAGGCAAGTCTGGCTGCAGGAGACCGGCAGAAAGTTGCAACTGATATACGAGGCCGGATCGCTGACCGACTGCGTCGACGAGGAGCTCGTCGACGGGGACGAGGGCTCCTGCGCGTCGAGTACGCACTCCGGCGATTACGATGACGAGGCGTCGATCGAGGTGTTCGACGTGGACGAGCACGAGGACGCCTCGAGAATCCCGCAGGACCTCTCCTGGCTCTCGTCCACGTCCGAGCTGAGGCATCGGTGCGCTCGCGTCAGAAGCAGGGCGAGAAATCAGCTTGTCGGACAACATCGCCGCAGGTGAGAAAGAAAGATCTCGATACCCACTTGAACCGTTTACACATGAAAATAATTCGGTAGAAATATTCAACAATTTCTCGTTGAGATGAGACGTAAACGACTGTAACACTGAAACTACCGAGCAGTAGAATTGGCTTTTGGAAATTTCTCTATAGAAACTTTAAGAGTGTATCTATTGAGACTTCAATTGATTTATAATTTAGTTCGCGCATTGCTAAATCAATTTTTTTAGTAATTTCTTAGAGAAACGTCTGTTATGTTTTTAGTAATTGCGAAATGGGAAATCAGGATTGGGTCAATTTGACCAGTCTGGTAGTTTCAGTGTTAAAACCGATTAATATGGAAACAGATAAACTAAGGAACAAAGATATTTTATTTCAATATTTTCCATGCTGATCCATCGTGCGAAGATTAATATTATATATAAGACTTTATACTTTTGCTAAGCCAGCAGTGCAAAGAGTTAATAATGAGAAACAAGGAACTTCCCTACGTTTACCCTTTAACGCGAACAAATGATTTAATTACTGAAACAGCAAGAGATCAACACTTTCCTGTTTTCCTCTTAATTAAGCAATCGATATATAATTTAGCTTCATCTGCCGAAGGTTTTGTACATTTCAAAGAATCTTCGTCCGCAAAGGGTTAAGCGATTTGTTCACAGTAGAAACTAGGAAATTTGTAAAGTTTATAATAACTATAATCAATATAACATAAGTAGCTATAATCTTCACATTTAGAATAGAATGGAAAAGAAATAATTGCATTGAATAAAAGATTGTCAACATAGAAAGTGAAGTAAACTAATTTCAGAATGCAAATTATTATTGCTTCAATATAGAATGTTTACGAGTTTGATAGTTGGTTGTTTGGAACGATTATAAAAATGTTTCTTCCTTGTCCTCAGGTCAAAGAGACAAGGTAATTTCTTTTATTGTTTAACACGTTGAATGCCGCACGATTTTATAAAGCAAAGTGCACAAAATGCAAAAAAATATGTTATTAAATCATTTGATTGAACTGCATTATTATTATTGCACGTTCTTCGCGTAGCATTATTAGTAATATAGAAATGTTTCCAAATAATCGTCGTTTCATTGAGTGAACTATAGTAATTCAATTCGGTTGTGGCTCACCGGTGACCCTCACGGCATTCAACGTGTTAAACGATCGGATAATGTTAGAAATTATTATCGGAATATGTGTTTGAACGTAGGAAGTACGCGAAGCTTCAGAACACGACGAGCAACAGCCGCAAGCAAAGAAAAGGCAAGAGTCGATCCCGGAGGGATTTGTTCATGATCCCGGGCACACAATGGTGCGGCCGCGGTCATCGTGCCACCAAGTACACGAATTTGGGCGGTTTTGGTACCGCAGACGCTTGTTGCCGTAGACACGACACCGCCTGCCCGTTCTTCATACCGCCTTTCGAAACGCGTTACGGTTTCTTCAATTGGGGCATTTCCAGCATGATGCACTGCGCCTGTGACGAACGGTACTGAGATCGATATTTCGCCGAAATATTAATTCAATCTTTAAATTCAAGTTGTTAGAGGAACATTCAACGGGTAATTCTTTCACTGGCCGTAACAACGACCCTCAGAAATAGAGTCGAGGGTTGAAAATATATCTACTTTGACACTTCGAGAATGAACGAGTACTGGAAAATGTTCTTTCTTCCAAATCGTGCGATTTTCAAGTGGAAATTAAATCGTATTCGAACGTAACGAGTAAAACCATTTCGTTTAAATCGTATATTTAACAGTAGATTTTCGGACATCTATTGTACAGTTTATTCCATTGCTCCCAGAAAGATTGATGTTCGTTTAGATCTAGGAAATCAAGTGTTTAAGAATGTATCATTAGGAAACGTAATCACGTAATTGAATCAATCAGAATCGACCCAAACATGTGCCAAATAATGTTTATAAAATTCAATATGAGTCAAATTGTTAACAGTGTTTCTACCGAAGGTGTCAAGACACCTTCTGGCACTTTAACTTAAAATTATTTTCTCAGTTCAATCGTTTCTCCTCAATTGAATTTTCATTTCCTATAAGTAATTTTATCATTTTTATTGGAAAAGTCGGAAAGTCGGTTCAGATTATACGACTAAACATGGCAAATAGTTTTAAGTGAAAATTTCAAAAGGTGTCCTCCGACACCTTCGGTAGAAATAGTGTTAATAATATTGATTCAGTTGGAGGTTCTACTTTCGCGTGAGATTAGATTTGAATTTTTCGTTTGAATCCCCGATTGTTCAGACGTACAAGTGTTTGCTTTCACTGTGCAGTTTCCGCACGTGTTTGAGAATGGCTGGGACATCGTCGGCGAACTTCGTCGGCAAGATCTTCTTCGACGTTCTCCGCACGAAATGCTTCACCCTAAAGCCGCAGAAGGTATGCGCGAAATGGTCATGGATGGGCAAGTGCCAGCGTCACGAGTACCGGAAGCAAGCTCATATTCGCGATAATGTTCCTTATTAATATGGAAAGAAAGAGTCGAGCCTCACGGAATGAGAGAAGAGAAGAGAGAAAGGAAAAAGAGAGATTGGGAG